TAAATTAACGTTTTCATAACAAAAAAAAAAATAACGAAATTAAAACGTTGTTTTTATTAATAATTTTCGAACGACAACAACAATAACTTCCGTTTTAAAAAAAAAAAAAATTTTCTTTTCATATCATTTTGTTTTGGTCTCCTGCTAATTTTGCATGCATGTACAACATGTCGTATGTATTTCTTTAAAAATTTAATTTTACTCTTAGTAAAAAAAAAAAATTATCACGGTAAACCTTATTATTATTATTATTATTATTATTATTATTATTATTATTATTAAAAAAATCCGTCTTAACAAGCTACGCGATCTTGATTTATTATTATTTATAATTAAATTTATAATATAAAACATGGTCGCAAACAAAAAAAATTAAAAAGAAAAAAAAGGGTTTATGGGAGTCGAAAGGGGTGAAAACATTTTATAATCTTACATTCGTACGCACGTACGCGCGTACAACTCCTCACACACGCACATGTTTTCATTATCATTATCATTATTATTAGTTGTACGTAAAAAAAAAAAAAAAAAAAAATAGATAACGAAGAGTTAATAAAGATCCGAAAAAAGGAGAAAAATCTGACAAATGAGTGTTAAATGTAAATTAATAATATATAAGATGACGCAGACGTTTTATAAGTTAAATAAATTTTAATGCGGTCATTTTAAATTAAAAAAAAAAAGAAAAAAGAAATATTATTTATTGTCATTGATGGATGACAAAGAATAATAACCCTTTTATGGTCCATATCGAAACAATTACAATCGGCCCGTGATTATTATTATTATTATTATTATTATTTTATCATTATTATTACTTGATATTTTTGGTGTTGAACATCGTTTTGGATGAAAAATATTAATAAGATTTTTATAGTGACGAATTGGTGTACCAAGTGTTACGCATATATTATTAAGAATTTTTTTCTTGGATCGAACCAAAGGTGGTCTTTGATAATAATGATGATAATAATGATGATGATGATGATGATGGAAATGAGTAAGATGTTGTTAGAAATGTTTTTTTTTTTTTGTATGGAGAGAGTTGCAATGCTTTTTAGTTTTAAATTTACCGGGGAATTTTTTTTCTTTTTTTCACTTTGTATTACACTCGAAAAATTGCAAAATAATAATAATAATAATTTTTGTAAAAAAAAAATTGAATCGGAACCGTTTTGTTCTTGTTCTTTTTTTATTTATCAAAAACCTTTTTTTTTTTTTTTTTTTTTAAGCCTTCTCCAGTCATTGAACATGAAGAACTGTGAAATTAACCCTCCTCAAGACCACCCAAATAAAATATTTTTCATTTAAAATTATTTCTGCTATAGTTTATTATTATTATTAATATCATTATGTATATTTTCAGTCTTACCTTTCCGTGTTCTTTATCAAAATCACATTCTCTACCCAAATCGACGGTGCTGTAGCCATTTGATGCCGGATTAAAAACAAGTTGTATATTAGTACCAGTTGCAACAAATGCAATTTCCGTATGTCCTTCCCGGCAACCATTTTGAAATCGTACTTGTCTTTCTTCCTGTGGTCTGTCTCTGTAACCCGTATATCGTACCTGTAATAAAAATAAGGTACACGGTGTTAACGTAAAAAAAGCAAACAAACAAACACGTGAAAAAAAATTTTTTTAAAAAAAATGAATGAAATAAAAAATTCTTCATCATCAACAATTCTTTGGTACATTTGGCAAATTTGTCTTTCCACCACTACCACCACCCCCACCACGTGATTATAAAAAAAAATTTTTTTTCCCAAACAACCACACATGGCACACTTGCTAAATCAAAATATTATAAACCAAAGGGAAGTGGTTTTTTTTTTTTTTAATAAAAAATTTCAAGTTTTGATAACTAGCTTCCAGGAAATAGTTTACATGATTCAGATTAATGTCGCACTCATGTGATAATACGTCCGAATGTCTGCCCTTAAATATTAAGAGGGGGGCCTTATTATTATTATTAATACTATACATATTTTCTACGAACGGGTAAAAAATATTTTTCGAAAAAAAAAAAAAAATTTCGACCCTTTTATTATCAGGTACCAAATGACTCACGAATCAAAAACTATCACGAGGAAGTAGTTTTATTGTTTTTAAACAACGTGGAAATTATACCCACTTAACTAACATATAATTATGTATTTATACCGACGGTTAAAATTCGTTATCATTATCATCATCATTTCTTCTTAGCGGCGGCTCTTATCATTTAACAAAAATTATTATTATTATTATTGATTTTAATAATCACGATAAGAAAGTTTGTTTTTTTTTTTTTTTACTTAATTATTATATAAAGTTTACTTATTTGACCGGTTTTATGAAATTTTATTATAATTTGGAAATTTTTCGATTATTTATATTTTCTTAGAATATTTAAATAATAATAATAATAATAATAAATGTAATAATTTCATTCGAAAAATCCCGATCGTGGTAGTCATATAGACTATAAAAAATTATTTTTTCATAAAAAGTTTACTTTTATAGTAAAAAATTTGATTTGATTTAATAATAAAAATCCCGTCGCGAATTTGATTCGTTAGAAAAAAAAATCAAATTATAGCGAAAATACAACAATAGAAAAGAAAAAGTTTAAATAAATTTGAATTTTTTTTTTTTTTTTACACAATTCCGTCGGATTTTTCTGGAAATGAAAATTTTCCCTGGAATTTTAACAGTTACTAAACGTTTCGCGTAAACTTAATTGTAAAATTGATTATAGCAAAATTATAGCGAACTTTTTTTTTATTATTTTTCTATAACTATAAAAAATAGTTTTTTTAACGTATAAAAAAAATTAATTAATTAAACTAATTATTAATTGATAATATTAAAAAATTAATAAATAAACTAACTGTTTATGGCGTGTAAAAAACGTTTTTATCTTTTACTATAAACTAAAACTATAAGTCTATAATTTTTATGTTTTGCTATAATAATTATATTACATAATAATTTTTCTTTATTAATAAATTAACAATTTCTTTTTTTTGCGAAAAAAAAATTTTACTATAAACTAATTTGAATGCTATAACAAAAAATAGCAAGCTATAACTTGTAGCAAATGAATTAAAACTATAACGTAAATACTATATTTAATAGATAAATAAAGTATTGCTACTACTAATAATACTATAATGAAGGTTTTGGACGTTTTTTTTTTTTCAATAACTTTAAATAAAATTTTTTTTTTTTCGATAAGTTAATTAATGATATGAAAATATTGATAAGGTTTATCATCACGTGATGTGATTCAAAAAAATATATATAGACTATTTTATAGAACAAAAAAAAATTATAGCAGTAAAAAATAAGTTTGATTAAAATATAGTTTTATTCGCGCTTTAACTTATTTTTTTTGTTATTTATCGTTTGCACGAGATTTATTAAATGTTATGTATTATTATTATTAATATTATTTACGGCACGGATTAATAATATTTATTCGTTTTAGTTATTAATCTCTCGCTCGCGGTTAAATTTATTAATTTTTAATCGTGAATAAATTACGTAATTTTATTTATTTATTTTAAAAACATAAGTTATAATAACTTATTAATTTGATGCATAGAAATTTTATATACGTTTATTTATTTAACACTATTATTGATTTCTCCGTTCGTAAAAGTTCGGAAAATTTAAATTTTTCCACACGCACACGCAAACACCCACACAAACACGTGAATTAATTATTTGTTTACATTTATTAATATGACGTAACGAAAGAAAATTGTAAGTGCGGACACGATTTATGGAAAATTTAAAATTTCGATAAGAGTACGTAATAATAATAATAATGATAAAGTGTTTAGTAAGCGAAGACTAAGTAAGGGTTGGTGTCTTCTTCTTATTTTTCTTCTTTCTCGACAACCACTTTTCCGATAAAACACTTACCTCACTTTCCCGACTTAATCTCCTAAATAATTCATCCGATTCGAATTTAGATTTTTGATCGGGTACTACTCGCGGCATTTTAAATATAAACCTCGGTTTGGGCTGTTCGTAAAGCCCGATCGTATCGAAGGGTAGCATGCCCGCCAGGGCGCTCGGATCATTCATTGTATGCATTCGGACGTGGTCGCGGTTATACTGGAGGTGAGCCGGCACCGCGGTGGTTGCACAGTCTCCGCCTTCGATCCCCACTATGACGCTGTTTAACGACGCCCATGCTTATCCTGTGGGTAACCCCATCGACACGCTCTATTACGCTCTTAAGGGATTTCTCGGGGAGCACTCGCGCCAGCTAGAAAACCGCTCGCGGGCACAGGACCAATACTTGGCTGGGATTCTGCACAAAAAAAAAAAATAAAATAAAAATAAATAAATAAATAAAAAGAAAAAAAATAATAAAAACTCCATGATTTGATTTTTTGTTTTTTTTTTTTCTAAAAAGAAAATTTTTGTTTACGAATAAATTGGTAATAAAATCGTGAAGATGTTTTTCTTATGAAAAAATTATGTATTTTACCCACTAAAAAACAGCTTTATTAATAATTTTTTATCGTTATTATTAATATTTAATAAATAATTTAAATAAATAAATTTTATTATCGATTTATCGTTTATTAAAATAATTTATTAAAAAACTTTTTATTTTAAGTAACAATTAAACTATTTACAGTTACCACCATTTTGCTGCTAGCAAATGTTTTTAAATAAAACTACCGGATTTTATTTTTTTTTACTTTCACGTATAATTTAAATGATTTATGTACATATTTTTTATTTTTTGATTTTAAAGTAAATAAAATTATTTATTTCTTTATTTATTAATAATTTTCGGAAGCATAAAAAAAAATAAAAGCGAATAATAAATAAATTTTAATGTAAAAAAAAATTCTTTTATTTAATTTATTACGAAAAAACCTACTAAAATATAAAAAGTAATAATAATAAGTTTTAAAAAAAATAAATAATTAATAAATTAATCACGTGACGTGTGCGTATGTAATTTTATTTATAAAAAAAAAAAAAATCGCGAAAAGTTTTTATTTATTAAAACGATGCGAGTGCGCGCCTTACTCACAAATAAAATTACCATATTTTTTTTAAATAATGTTAATAATTAATTATTTATTTATTCAAAATTTAATTTTT